CCCTCCTCCTCCTCCTCCTCCTCCTCCTCCTCCTCCTCCTCCTCCTCCTCCTCCTCCTCCTCCTCTCCCCTCCCCATCTCCCCTCCTCCTCCTCCTCCTCCTCCTCCTCCTCCTCCTCCTCCTCCTCCTCCTCCTTCTCGTCTTCCTCCCCGCTGCATCGTTGTTTCGCTTCCGCCGCCACCTTGTCCGCGGCGCAGAGCATGCTCCTGCCAAGGCGCCCGGCTCCCACGTGCGCCGTGCCCCCCACTCGGGCCTCCAACGGAGACGCAGCCCGGAAGCTGGACACTGGGAGCTCTGAGTCGATACCACGGCGGCCCGAGGAGGAGGAGGAGGAGGAGGAGGAGGAGGAGGAGGAGGAGGAGGAGGAGGAGGAGAGGGAGGTGGATGGGGGGAGGAGGAGGAGGAGGAGGAGGAGCAGGAGGAGGAACGGGAGGAGGAGGAGGAGGAGGTGGAGGGGGAGGGGGAGGAGGATGGGTCGCCTAAGCCCTTCGGAGAAACCCTTGCTGTCGTGCTTCCCCGTTTTGGGCAGCGAGGGAAGCCGGGGGAGGAAGGGGCACCGATTAAGTCCGGCCTGTCCTTTTACAGGGGGGTAGTCAAAAATAGTCTGGGGACGATTGTTTGACTATGTTTGATAATTGGTGTTGTATTTTTTTGATTTTTTATTTTTCGTCAAAAATCCCGCTGTAGGTGGACAGGCCCGACCTAACCGTTGCCGTCGTGTTTCCTTCCCCTTTTCGGGCAGTGAGGGAAACCGGGGGGAGGAAGGGGCAACGATGTCGTTGCCCTCGTCTGGTTTTCGCCATTGTGGGCCTTCCTTCTGGCAGGCCGGGCCCAAACGCGCCCTGGGAGAGGTCCAGGGTGTAGCGGTATTGGTATCTTTTTATTTGTCTCCCCGAAAACGCCTGGCCCAGGGTCTAGGTTCCATTTCGATATGATAGATCCCATTCGATGTCGACCCCAGCTGGCCCGATCCCATCCGAGTGCGATATTCTGATTATCCGATGCCGCCAAGTGCCTGCATGAGGCTCTCGTGCATCCTGGCGTGGCCGATCCGGGTCGATCTCGACTCCGCGCCGATGCGGCCTGGTCCGACGAGCGTTCCGATCCGATCTGGCTTCCTGATCCGATGCTGACCGATTCTGCCACCCAGACAAGGTGACGGGAAATCTGCACGGGCTGACTCGGAGAGTGGCATGAGTACGAGTGTACTGGTGCAGTCCCCGGTCGGTTTTGCGAATCGACGTGCGTTCCGCTGGATACATCTGGTTGTGTTTGGACGTCGATTGGTTTTTCCACCAGTGGCACTCTGACTTCAGGAAGACAACTATCGGGTTGAGAGGATGGGGTTGTGAGAAATGAGGGTATCTTTACCCGTAGGCGGCCGAATGTATCGTTCATAGCATCCAGATGCTATTGCTCCTATTTTTCATCCTCCCAACCTCTTGCCTCCTAACACGGCAATTGTTCTCCTCATGATTGCGGTGCCGCACGTGCCCGTGGAGTGCCCCAGCAGCTTTCACTGAAGGGCGTTCTGCTAAAGGGCCTTCTGTCAGTCGTCGATTCTTTTGGGCCTCCTGGAGGCTTCTCGTGGCCTCGGCCGGATCTGCTTCGGACAACGGGTCAGGATGGTTCCCAGGAGGGGTCCGGGTACCGATTTTGAGTTGCTTGGGGCTGGGCGGGCCACACCTGGTCGGCCCCCCAGGGGATAATTCAGAGGTATTCGGCCCCCCAAGGGCCGAAACATATCCATATCCACCGCCCGCTGGGGCACCAGGACGTCGGTTCCCAGGCGGTGGGTATGGATGAATCCCCGCCTCGCACCTGGGAGGAAGCTGGAGAAAATAATCGGGACCAGCCCTTCCACTCCTTCCAGGCCTGGCCAGTTTCCTTTCAGTTTTGCTACTCGGCCGACCTCATGACGGCCGTTTCGGGCTCGTTTCGTCCCTTGACAGCTATTCCATCTTTGGCCACTTCCACGTTTGTGGAATTCCCAACTTCCACTTTCTCAAGTTTCCCCAAGAGAGCCCCACGACGATCTAAGGTGGCGCCAAGATGGCTTGAGACGGTTCGTGCCGTGTCGACCCGGCGACGTCTTGTCGCGGGCGTTCAACTGCCAGTGGGCCAGAATCGGCCAACCTGAACCCCAGGACACGCCTGGGCAGCCCAAGAAGACCCCAGAAGCCCCCGCAGCAACCTTCGAGTTCGAGGATCGATCACCACAAAGGCAAACGGGTCCTGAGGGAAGCGGGGCCCTGTGCTATTTGTTCGCCGTTCTCGGGCTCGCTGGGCCCTCCCGCGGCCCTGGGACTGGTCAAGACGACACGGGATGAAAAACTAGTCCGGGGAACGGTCCCAGGATCTTGGACCCGCTGCCCTCGGGACCCGGCTTTCTTTCATGCCAAGAGTGGCGTTCCAGGAAGGGCCGCGCCCTCAGGGGCCCGAGATGTTGATGTTGTCTCTCTCTCTCTCTCTCTCTCTTCTCTCTCTCTCTCTCTCTTTATCTTCTCTCCCCCAACGGAAGCCCAGCACAACGAGGGCGGCGCCGCCAGCGGAAGGGAAATAGGCGACCTCCAAGTCATGTCAACGGTTTTGGCGGGATCGAGGGCCCCAGAGCGCACCAGTTCCGGTTGGTGAGCTTGGGCCGCTTCCGTGTTGCCTAGGGTTAAGTCGGGCCTGTCCCTCTACAGTGGGAATGTTCAAAAATAGTCACAAATAGAATGGGGAACATTTTTTGAGTATGTTTGGGCATCTGTTGAGCATTTCCTGCATATTTTTTATTTTTCGTGCAAAATTCCCCTGTAGGGGGACAGGCCCGACCTAAGCCTAGGGCTCTGCTTGGGCCCCAGGACCCTCAACAGAAATGTTCGGGATGAGCAATCGGACCTCAAGGACGTTTGGCTATTGTAGGGAGGGGGGGCATCGACCCCCAATCGCCCATCCATCTCCGTTCGAGGCCTGGTAGCTGCCCCCGCCAGGGACGTTCGGATTCGCTGTCGGAGGCCTATCGCCGATCTCTCGGCTACGCATCGCCGGTTACATGTCGATGTTCTCCCCCGGAGCCGGTCCACCCCTATCTCTGCCCCTCAACCAAGGGTCAAGGACCCGTTTCCAACATGCCTCCTTTTTTCTCATGCCACGTTCATGTTGAAAGACCTTCGGCCTATCTGGTCCTCCTGGCACACCACGACGTTGTCCCCACGGCTGGCTGGTGCACTCAGCGCATTCCTTTCGAGATTCTGGCCAGAACGCACCTCTGCATCGGTCCATGGTTTATGTTTGACACCCGAGCCCAGCGTTGAATGCTAGCGGGAGCATGAAGCCCATGATTGGGGGCGGCCGAGAGGCGTTTGATTACCAGGGAGGGTGACCATGATACCTGCCCCGATTTCGCGGCTCTCTCATCCTAGTCAATCGGTTCATTCATTCCGCCAGCCCATGCTGTCTCACCGCTGTCGATTGGATAAGTGTTAGTTTGCAGTGCGGAGCTGTAGGGGAGCCTCGTGGCGGCATTTTTGGGGGACCCATGGGGTCTCTTGGGGCCTCTAGGGGGCATCTTGGGAGCCCGGACTTCGTGGCTCCCTCATCTCGTCTCAATGCGTCCTTTGGCCACCCTGGACCGCGCACCTGCCTCGTACCATGCTTTGCGAGCCTCCATCTTGGACGCCCCCTTCTTGAACGACCCTCTTGGACGCTTTTCTTGGACGGGAGCCCCACGCCCATGAATCACACAGGGATCCAAAGCGCACCCCTGGCTCCGGCCCAACCGCCGCGTGCTCTCGTAGGGCGTTCTTCTGGACGTATGTCGGCGCCTCGCCTCGCCTCGCCTCCTTCGAACGGCCCCGACTCCTAGCCCGACCTTGCATGCCACCGAAGGCACGAACCCTCAGAAAACCTTCCCACCCGGGGGGCACCCACAAACATGCCTGGGGCTGCACCCAACCCGCCCAAGACGTCTGGCGGGGGCCATGCGAAGGCTTCGTGCGGCGCTTGTCCGCTGAAGCCCCCAGGGGCGCAGGACGGTGGCGACAGCTGCGCGCCGAGCAGCACCCGAGGGGGGCGAGGTCTCGTGTGGGCCTGCGCGGGGCGCGTCCTCCCCAGGAGAAGGCTGCAAGGGGTCCTGGGATCGGGGCGCTGCACGACTTCGGGCCCAGACTGGCTCGGGTGTTCCGCCCCCTCCTGCCCCGAGCCCCAAGGGAAGAGCACGGAAGCTTGCCGACGGCGTGGGAGCCAGGTTTCGTTCCGGCAGGGGCTCGAGGCCCCCAGGGCTGGTCCGCAGACTGCTCCTCGGGCGCTCCTCGTGAATACAGTCGGGTCGCTGAAGAAGGAACCCTTTTCGTTGGGGAGGGGCTCCGCGCTCCCTAAGTGTTTCACAGCTTGCCTCAGGTGTTCCTTGGATTTTCGATGGGAAGTCGAAGTTTAACGTATGGAAAAGAAGGCCTCGTTCCTTATTCGGGGTTCCTTGGGTCAACGCCCCGACTGTATGGCCGCAGCCAGGGCCAGACAGAGGCGTCGTTCCTCGCTGCACGGCTCTTGTGGCAGGACGTTGGCTGCCAGGCCCTGGACGGATCCAATGTGCCATTCTTCCTTGCCGTGGACCGTGAGTAAGATTCCGAGCCGCTTGCTGAAAGTTCGGCAGTTTCGGAGTCGCAGATATCCAAACCAGGGGTGGACCTAAACGGTGTTTTGGCGATTTCGTGGGCCGTTTTCGTTTCTATGTCGTTTTGCGTTAAAGGCGGATTGAAGACAAAATGATGGAAAACGAAAACGTAATGAAAACGAAAAACACCGTTTAGGTTCAGCCCTGATCCAAACCTACCTTGATCACCTTCCCACTTCGCCGATCGACGAAGCTGCCCTTTGCCTCCCTGTTTCGGTGGCGGCCCGGAGCTCAGTCCAGTAACCGCCTTCCGACTTCATCTTTCCATTTGTGTCTTGAGAGCGGCCTGTAAGAGTATACATGAAGGTCCGCAATCCTCGGCTGCAGATCGCGGCACCCCCAGGCGGCGGCAGCGCTGGAGCGGCCCCCGCTCCGCTTCGCCGTGGGCGACCGCGTCGAGTGCAACTGTGGGACATGGGTCCTCGGAGTGGTGGTGATCCAGGCCGACGAACTACAGCTCAGAAGTTTCGCGGAGGAGGTCTTCGGTGTTTGGGCTTTGTTGGCCTCTCCCGGCCTCCTGCGGCCTCTGGAGGCCTCCGGGGGCCTTCGGAGACATTTGGAGATTTCCTGGCACTTCTGGAGACACCCACGGATGGGGTCGGGAGATCGCGTCGCATCGCCGATGCGTCGACGGTGCCGCGCGGTCCAGAGCCCCAGCCCTCTCCATCCCAACCTCGCCGACGCATCGGCTACGCGGCGCGACCCTCCGACCCCGTCTGATCAGTCCTCACGGGCGGCCTGCAGGTGAAGCAGTGGTACAGGGAGCCCACCTGGTCGGAGGAGAAGGTCACGCCGTACCAGATCAAGCTGGACAACGGCACGACCATATACGCGCCATTCGATGAAGACGCCTGCATCCGAGCGCCCCGGGGCATGCACGCATATGGCAAAATTCCAGTGACGGTGTTCACTGGTTTCCTCGGTGCAGGCAAGACGACTCTGCTTAACCACATACTCAACAACCAGGAGGGGAAAAGGTACGCCGTGATCGAGAACGAGTTCGGGGAAGTTCCAATCGATGAGATGTTGCTGGATTCAGAGGTGGGTAAGAGGAAAACCATGGAGTCTGTGACCGTCCTCGACAACGGGTGCCTCTGCTGCACGCTGCGCGACGACCTCGCGGCCGCCATGAGGGAGATAGTGAGCACTGTCGAGGACAGGATCACGAGGGGCGACCCGAACGGGATGATCGATGGCATCTTGATAGAGACCACAGGCATGGCAGACCCGGGGCCCATTTGCAAGACATTCGGAGCCGACCCAGTCGTCCAGAAGTATTGCAAGATCGACGGCGTCCTCACCATGGTCGACGCGAGGCACTTCTTGGAGCAGCTCGATAGGGAGCGCTCCCCTGGCGCGGTGAACGAGTCTGCGCAGCAGATCGCGTTCGCCGACAAGATACTCCTCAACAAGGTGGACGCGGTGGACGACGCCCTGCTCGAGGAGACCACAGCTGCCATCCGCAGCATCAACACCCTGGCGCCCATCCGAAGGTGCAGTCTGGCGCAGAGGCCGGACGAGGTCCCCATCGAGGAGTTGCTTGCCATCGACGCTTTTGACGCAACCAAACTGCTAGAGGACGGCAGAGACTTTGACGAGGTCCTCGACCCGGATGGCGGAGCGCACGGCCACTCCCACGGGCACACCGAAGACTGTTCGGACCCCGCGTGCACGGACAGCGCGCACGGCCACAGCCATGGGGACGGCCACGAGAGCTCGCACAGCGCTCACGGCCACGAGAGCTCGCACAGCGCTCACGGCCACGAGAGCTCGCACAGCGCAGACTGCACGGACTTGGAGTGCACCGACTCATCCCACGAGCACGGGCACAGCCACAGCCACGGAGCTTCCCGCCACGACACAGACATCGGCACAATGGTGCTCGAGATGGAAGGAGCCGCGTTGGATGTTGACAGATTCAACGCGTTTGTGAGGGACCTCCTTGACCACAAGTCCGCCGATCTGTACCGGTACAAAGGCGTGCTGGCGGTGAAACAGAAGGGGTACACGGTGCGATACGTGCTCCAAGGGGTCCACGATATGATGGAAGTGTCATTTTCGGGCCCGTGGCCTCCAGATAGGCCAGTGAAGACGCAGGTGGTTCTCATCGGCAGAAAGCTCGACAGAGAAAAGATCAGGGAGCAGTTCTCGAAGTGTTCCGTCAACATGGGAGTAGTCGTTTGAAATGCTGCTGTCGGCAAGTCCGACGTAGGCTTGACGTGCACTAGTTCCCAGCATGGAAGGGCGGCACAGAACAAACTTTCACGGGCAGCCTCGAAGAAAAGCATACATGCTATCCAGATCCGCGCGGACCTTTTGATGCCTATTTGTCAGTATAGCGTCGGGGTGCGAGAGTTGGCCGAAACACCAATCGCTGCATGAGCGATTCCGCTGTATCAGGAAACGAAGTTCTCTGCCCGTCGTCTCGACAATTAAGGGGTCCGTGCGGGCAAGGTGCATCGCCGATCCTCAACGGACCCCTCGGGATCTTTGGTGGTCTTCTGGCATTCGTCCGGCCGACGGTTGCCCCTTCTCTTGATACGTTCCCTCCATCTCCTCATAACGAATTATGTTGCCCCTCAAGGGATGATCCTGATGGTGACACCCTTTCGGGCGTTTGTGCTTCGAGTTCTGTTCAGCCGGCAAGGCCCTTCCACTGCAGACGGGTGTCCTCGGCGCCGTCCTATCCTGTCCGCAGCCGTCTGGGCCCGCCGTGCTCCGCTTGCCCCCCCAGGCGCAGCATGCAGGCCGCTGGCCCGCGGACCGCAGGCCCCCGAGCAAGCGTACCGCACGGGCCCTGCGTTCCCTCGCGGCCCTGCGGGCGGCGCTCCGTCTCCGCGCCCTCCCCCCCGGAGTCGGGCGAGACTCCAGAGCTGTGATGTTCCAGCCTACTTTGGCCTTGAGTACCAGAAAGAATTTCGAGCACCAGAAGAATACCGGAACTCGAGGGTTTTCACGCGTCCTGGGTGACACTCGTCCGACACTGTTTCGACATTCTTTTTCGACACTCTTTCGACATGTTTCCGGGTGTTCGGAATTCTTTCTGGGATGTGGTCCTTAAGTGCGATGGGAGCAACATAATTCCAGACCCAACGTTGCGTTGCTGCCTCGTCGGAGCCATCTCGCTGCCGTGGACTCGGTGGCGAGATAGTCGCTCGTTGGCAGCCACGGCGGATGGCCGCCACACGGTCGAGAGCAGGCGGCGGTGACGAATGCAATCGTTCGAGCTTGTTCAGCGCCTCTCGCAGTACCTCTCGCAGCGGACACGAGCGTGAGCGTATCCGAATTGAACATCGGGCGGAACGTCGAGTCGCTCATCCATGCAGACGCAAAAGAGGGGACAGGCGCGATCGTCGTCGCGCAGCTGCGGGGCCACGGTGGCAGCCCTAGAAGTAGCTCCCGTCCCGGCATACACTCAGTGTGGGGCTGCTCATTTGCTGGGCAACTTGGCTACCAGCCATGGCAGAGAGGATAGCCAGCCACCTGCTTCGCAAGGAGCAGGACCTCGTCTCGGTCCCGACCATTTTCCAAGGGGCCGACCCACAGAACGGCAACACCTGGGACATCGCCAGCGTCCCTTTGCAATCAGCCGCGGAGGCAAGGGCAGTTCGAGCGGGACAGATTGACCTTTGAGACCGCTGTCTTTGGTCAACGCTCATCTGGTTCCAGAGGAGTTGGCGGGTCAGGCGCAGTCGGCGTGCTGTGGGCAAGGGTAATGGAAAAAAGGCATTGCCCTCGACTGGCAGCATGTGCTGGAAACCGCCGTTGCTGCCCAAGTCAAATTCGCATCCACCACTTTCCAGCATATGCAAACGGAGCGCCAGCGCGAAACCACGAAGCATGTCACGGGCACCACGCACGCACACCTACACATTATCGAAGACGCCCCCTGCCTTGGAATCGCCCATGTGGCCGAGCGTTGTGGCAAGAGCTCCGCAAAGCTATCGGGACATGTGTTCCCCCAGCTGTTGTAGAAAGCCTTCGGAGAACACTTGGGGGAGGATGGCGGAGAAGATCGGGAGGAGGAGGAGGAGGAGGAGGAAGAGGAGGAGGAGGAGGAGGGGCCATCTTGGGAGCCTCTGGGTGCACTCCGGGAGCTTCCTGGGAGCCTCTTGGAGACAATTTGGGGGCCTCCTTGGGCATTTTGAGTGCCTTTGGGAGCCTCTCGGGGGCCTCATTGACCGTCGGAAGACGTCTTGGAGGCCCCTTTGGGCCGATTCGGGGCCCTCTTGGGGTGCTCAAGGGCCGTCTTGGGGGCCATCTTGAGCGTCTTCGAGGCCCCTTGGGCCATCTTGGGGCCCTCTTTTGGCAGTCTTTGGGGCCTCTTAGGCCGTTCTGGGGCCATCTCGGAGGCCTCGTGGGCGATCGCGTGGCGATCTTGGGGCGATCTCGGGCCGTCTCGGGCCGTCGGAAGGCCGCAACGAAGCAATTGCCAACATCATTTCAAAACCTAAGGAAATCAATGATTTGGGTCTCTTCGGGCCTTCCTGGAAGCCCTCTTGGAAGCCTCTTGGGTCGTCTTGGAGACCTCTTGGGTGCCTCTTGGGCCGTCATGAGCCATCTCGGAGCCATCTTGGGCAGTCTTGATGGCCTCCTGGCCCGTCTGGCGCTGTCGGAAATCGTCTTGAGGACCTCTCTGGGCCGACTTGGGACCCTTTTAGGGTGCTCCAGGGCCGTCGTGGAGACCATCTAGGGCGTCTTGGAGGCCTCTTGGGGGCCTCTTGGGGCCGTCTTGGGGGCTTCTTGGGCCGTTCTGGAGCCATCTTGGAGGTCTCTTCAGCGATCCTGGGGGCGATCTGTGGGTGCTCTTGGGCCTCTTGGGCCGTTGGAGTGCCGAAACGAAGCAAATGGCAAAATCCTTCAAGAACCCACTGACAATCAATGATGTTGGCCTCTTCTGACCCTCCTGGAGGACGTCTTGGAGGCATCTTAGGCCGTCTTGGAGACCACTTGGGGGCCTCTTGGCCCGTCTTGGGCCATCTTGGAGCCATCTTGGGCCATCTTGGTGGCCTCCTGGCCCGTCTAACGCCGTCGGAAGTCGTCTTGGGGGCCTCTCTGGGCCGACTTGGGGCCCTCTTGGGGTGCTCGAGGGCCGTCTTCGAGGCCATCTTGCGCGTTCTGGGGCCATTGGGCGATCTTTGGGGCGATCTTTGGAGGCTCTTGAGCCGTCTCGGGCATCGGAAGGCAGAAAAGAAGCAAATGGCAAAATCCGATGAAAATCCACGGAGAATCAATGATGTTGGCCTCTTCGGCGCCTCTTGCGCCCTCTTGGTCCGTTTTGGAGGCTTCTCGGGCGGACTTCTCTTTGGCCGTCATTGAGGCCACTTTGGACCATCTTGGGCAAACTTGGAGGCCAGCTCGTCTTGGAGGCCATCTTGGGCCATCTTGGAGCGGGAAAGGCATTTACACCGGATTTGGGGTCCCTTCTGGGTGGCCGGCGGGACGCGCCGAAGCCCCAGGGAGAGTTCTTTTGGAAAAGAACCAATACGTAACAACGACCGTAGGATCTAGCACACCGGGCACCCCAGTGGCAAGACCACAGGGGGCGGTGATCGAATGGCCTTCGGCGGATCGGTTGTGGGTATGGTGCCTCTTGGGTGTTCGTTGGGATCTCGTGAGGCCTCCGGTGGACCTCCTCGAGGCAGTTTTGAAGCCTCTGGGGAGCTGTTTGGGTGCCTCTTTCGGGCCTCTTGGGGGTCTCTTGGACGCCTCTTGAACGCCTCTCGGGCGCCTCTCGGGGCCTCCTGGGTGACTCTAACGGCCTCCTGAGCGCCTCTGAGGGCGGAAGGCTCTGATTTTCGGTTCGTGTTCCCGTTTCTTTGGTCGCTCTTGGGGCCGTCTTGGGGCCCTCTCGGGGGCCTCTGGGGCAGTCGTGGGGCGATCGTGGGGGCGTCTTGGGACGTCTTGGCGCGTCTTGGCGTCTGAAAACCCTAACAGCATAGAAGCACCTAAGGAAAACCAATGATACTGGCCTTTCGGAACCCTCTTGGGAAGGCTCTTGGAGGCCTCTTGACGTCTTGGGCGCTTTTTCGCTCGACTGGAGGCCATCTCTGGCGTCTTGGAACGGTCGTTCGGCGATTCGTGGCCATCTTGGCCGCCTCTCGGGGCCCTCTTGGCCCGCCGCCGCCTTGGGGCCCTCTTGGACCCGAAAAAAACACGCGACAGGACGCGACACGCTGGGAGCCCCAAGAGAGTTGGCAAGTTGGCACATTTTCAGAATAGGGGACTGAGGCTCAAGGCATTAGCCGGGTTGACCCAAAAGGCGGTCCAGCGACAAGGCGGTGGCGCAATAGACTTGTGGGGTTGCAAGACATTTGGGGCGTGCAATACATGTCGGGGTGCACATGTGTTGTTGCATTTTTGCGCGCAATACATTACATGCAATACAATGTAATACAATTCTCCGGCGCAAAACATGTGCAATACAATTGCCCCAAATCTATTGCACCCCCCCCTTTCAGCTGGACCCCCTTTTGGGTCACCCAAGATTAGGCCAAGGACCGAGAAGGGACCTGAGGACTCTCGGGGGCATGATGGCGGATATAGGTACGAGGAAATGTGCCGCAACGCAAGGTCGCGACAAGCCAGCCATCGCCAATGGGAAGCATGCGGAGCTAGACCATCCTCTCGCGCAGAAGCAGATCTTTACGGACGTTCCAAGACAGCTCTACAACGCAGACACTGGCATCGAGCAGCGCCGCTTCTACGCGCCTTGCCGAGGGGTCCCCTGACTCGGCGAAGCGACAGCTCTCCTCTGCTTGGGATCACCGCAGCTTCTGTGCAGAGGGCAGACACAAACGCAAAACCAAGCTGCGACAGGTCGCACCACGCGCACTCCAGAAGCGCCTCGCTGTCCTGCAGGAGATCGAGGCACTAGCGTGAACCAAGTGGCACTGGTCAACAGCACCCGCATCGATGGCGGTGCCGTCTCTCCGGATGCACCGCAGCAGAGGCCGTTGGTGCTCCAACTTGGCTGCTCTGGAGGCCCCGCACCAAGCGCGAAATCGGTGCTCCTCGCGCGTCAAGAGGCGCAAGCTGCTCGGGACCACTCGCGTGAGCGTTCACAGCCACGGCCTCTCGGTGGCAGATCGCGCGCGCATCCGTCGGCGATGGGCGGCGGCTTTGGACTTCGCCCACAGCGATCGGACGGAGCGCTCCTCCGCGAGCAGTTCCTTTTCCTCGTCTCTCCATGTTCCCGTCTCTTGTTCGTTCTTCTTCCAGTAGGGGAACCAACAATGTCATAAACATGGAAATTCGGAGGTCCGCGCGGATTCCTCGGATCGGCGCTGGGGCACCCTGGCGGCGCCTCCAGCGCCGCCCCTGGCGTGCTCCGCGCGCCAGGGAGAGGGGTCCAGCGTCGATCCGAGAAGTCCGCGCGGACTTCCGACGTGTTCTTTGTCTACGTCATTCCTTGCTCCCTTGTCCGGGGCCCCCAGCACAGGCCTCTGGCGGCCCCACAGTGCAGAGGTGCCTTCGGTTCCTCCCCCTCCGCTTCTTCCCCGCCCCCCCCCTGCGCCGCACCCTCCTCGCCCCCCGCCTCCTGCACCCTTTCCGCGGTCGGCGCCGCCCCCCTGCACTGGCAAGTCATCGCGGAGGCGAGCCGAAGCTGCACCGTCAGCTCCTCCCCCTCCACGCCCTCCTGGTCGCCGTAAGTCTGTCGGCCCGGGGCCCAGGGAAGCGGTAGCGGTAGAACAGAGACAACGGGGTCGGCGAGTTTTGGCAGTCGGGTTGTCGGAGGTTTGGGCTCTCTCCAGTCCCCCCCCCTTGTTTCTGGATCCGAAGACGTCAGTTTTTTGATTTGTTGGGCCTAAGCCTCTTGACCCCTTGTCCAGGACCGTTCTTTATCAGCCCGGGTCGTTGCCTGAGGGAACCAGGGCCAGAAGCGGCTGAGAACGGCGAAAACTATCCGGCACGGTTCTTTTCGAGCCGCCAGAGGTACGTATGAGCAGTAGCGAGTATAGGAGATGGACTACGAGCGAGAGCAGGGTGTTCGTCCGACCCGCCGCCCAGTTGCAGGAGATGCGGGTAGGAGCAGCATCACCAGTAAGTGGGTCGATTGGGGGGAAGGACTCCAACAGACAGTAGACATCTTAGCGGGAGTTAGAGGAGGAGAGCATGTCAGCAGCACGGCACGAGAGCCACAATGTGAAAAAGATGCCCCCATATTTTGTCCATGGTCCCGTCGTCTCTTGATCCGCCGCCTCCATCGCGATTGCTTTGAGTCGCCAGAGGTGTTGGCCCTTGATGCTTCTGGAGGGCCAAAAGGCCACATCCAAGAGCCGCGATCATCATCCTCTGACGGATAACCATGAACATAATGGCTTCGTGTTCTTTCTGGGTTTTTGCGAATTTGTTCCAAAGAGTAGGTCTTAGGAATCCTCCCAGGCTCCCTGGCACATCTTGGTATATCGTTCATGTCCTATCGATAGTTTGAACGCCCTGGAGCCCGAACCCCCAAAAGGTCGAAAACAGTGAACCACTTCCAGTGCAACTGTCTGCAATGCAATCCTCAGCCATCTCTTCCTGCCTCCCTCTTCTCGTTCTCCCTCCCTTCCTCGATTTTCCCCTGAAGCTGCCCCGCTGTCGCCCAGAGAAGGCCATCCTTCCATCGGAAGCGGTTGGTAGGCGATCCATGCGCATCCAAGAGCGTTGTCGTTGTTGTCAGTCGCTGCTGACACCTGGCTCGCATCCGAATCTTGTTATGTCCTTCCCTCTGTCTCTCTCTATCGCTCTCTCTCTCTCGAGAGAGAGAGAGAGAGAGATGTGTGTGTGTGCCCTCGTCGGTGCCAGGTCTACGTGCTCGACGAGATCACCACGGACCTGGACCTCTACGCCCGGGAGGGGCTGCTCGATTTCTTGAAGCGGGATCGGAGGGGGGGAGAGAGGAGGACAGCCCAGGCCTATCCCGCCGCCTCGCCCGGGTGGTGGATGCCTCTCGAAGGCCGAAGCGGACGCCGCATCCGCGCATCGTTGGTCCAAGCGCCTCTTCCGCCACTTCCGCTGCTAATCATTGCCGGGCTTTGATGTCTCGATACGCCCGTTTTGAAACGCAACACTTGCCGTGCTCAAAACGTCCGTTTCGATGCGTTGCGTGTTGGCTCAACGTTTTGGCCCACGTGACGGCGGCGACCGTATCGCGTCAGACTTACGTGTTCAGTCTACATGTTGAGTCGTATGGTATCACTACGCTACGTGTTGGGTGTTGCGTATCGGGGCGGCTAAGTGCTTGGGAGACGGACGAGCAAAAAATACATTGTCGGAAATTGGAACATATACATTACCAGTGGCGGGTTTTGTCTCAACCCCACGACTTTTCGAGGGTCGGGGACGACGTCGGGGTGGTGTGGTGTATACTTTTTTCCCGTTTTCCAAGGGAAACAACGAAACATGTATACACCAGGATCCCGTATACACCAGGATCCGCGTTCTTGTGCGAATTTCAGCGCAGGGTCGGAAAAAGCGTCGGTGTATAGAGCTCGTTTCCCTACATTGCGAGAGTGCCCAGGAGACGGAGACCAAGGGCGCGACCGTCTTCTATGCCACACACATCTTCGATCCGTTGGGGCTGCGCCTCCCGCGCGCGTTACGCCCCCTGGCACGTGCGAGCTCTGTCTGGCGCACAGGCCTGGATCTGGGACTGGCTGACAGACTGAGACCTCCGGCGACTGGCAGAGACTAAGACCAGATCTAAGACTGGTTTGGATCTAAGTATAGAGCAGATCTAAGACTAACCTTGATCTAATATTAGCTCTAAGACTAGATCTAAGACTAAGCTAGATCTAGGACGACACTGAAAGCGTAAGAACCTAGATCTAAGACTGTGTGACAAACCCAGACCTCCAGCGACTGGAAAATATCGAGCTGCAGGCTTTCTGATAATTTTCAAAGTCTGGAGGCCGGTTGTAAGGCGCGGGTCGAGATTCCCAGGTGCCCGCGATTCGGAAGAGTCGAGCCAGGAGCTTGGCAAACTTGGGGACGCGCGCTGTTTCTCTGAAGCAGTGTTTGTACTCAGGGGTCCGACCTGGGTAGACAAGTACAGTCAAGCATCTGATTTAGAAGCCTCCTCCCGAAAAGCTGGGCCAGCGTTTCGTAACCGACTTGCCGGAAAGCTTGCGCAGTTTCTTGAGCGCGCTCGCCCCATCCAGCGTTCATGGCAGAAGTTGGCCCTGCCCTGCTTTCAGAAACCTCCGGGAAGTTTTGGCCCAGACTTCTGAAGTGCTAGTTTTTTGATCATACTCTCGGCTGCAATTGGAGGGGTACGCCGAGGCTTCGCCCAGTGCTCCACTGTCGCCTCGTGGACTCGCAGCGCCTCGGGGTCACCTCGTAGACTCGCGGCGCCTCGCGGTCGCCTCGCGGTCTCGCAGCGCCTCGCGGTCGCCTCGCGGCCTCGCGACGGCCTCGTGACCTCGCGGCGCCTCGCGGTCTGCCTCGTGGCCTCGCGGCGCCTGGCGGTCGCCTCGCGGCCTCGCAACCGGTGCCCGCCCGCGGCCTCCCCGCCCGCCGGGTGGGGTGTCGCCCGGGTGTCGCCTCGGGGCCCGGCGGGTGACACCGGGTGGCCGCCAGGGGGCGCCTCGCGGGCGCGCCCCGTGCGCAGGGCGGGTTTGTCGGGGCTCGCCATGGTGCCTGCCCAGGGTTAAGTCGGGCCTGTCCCTCTACAGTTGTGGAAGTCGATTAAAGGAGAGGAATTATGCTGCCAAATAATTTCCAGACGTCTAAGACATGTTTCAAACATGTTCTAGATATATAGAAAGACATGTTCCTAATATTAGTATCACATGTTTTACACATGTTGAAACCCTTTTTTCATTCATGATAGGATTGTTAGAGTGTCCATTGTCATGGCATCCACAACTCTACAGGGGGAATAGCCAAACATTGTCAAAACAAACTAGTCTGGGGACGATGTTGTTTTACCTTTCTAAAATTTTTGTTGGGGGGCATGTTTGGTGCATTTTGCATTTTTCGTCAAAAAAGACGGAGGTTCAGAGACCTCCTACCCTGACACGTCGATTAAGGAATCGGCCGTCTTCGGGTCGCGAGAGGGCGTCGCGGCCGTCATTGGTACAGGTCCGTCGGTTTCGGCCCCAGGCCGTTTTCACTAAGGGGAGGTTTTTTAAAGGGAGGTTTGTCCACCGCCGATACATGGGGAATATTCAAAAATAGTCACAGAGTCGCCTGGGGACGATTTGTTTCACCATGTTTGCATATTTGTTGGGGGTATTGTTAGGGAATTTTCACTTTTCATCCAAAATCCGCCTGCAGGGGGTCACGCCCGACCTAACGCCAGTGGGCGGTTGGCGCCTCGTGGGCGCCCGGCGGGTGGCCGCCTCTGGGTGCCTCGTGGGCGCTCGCAGCGTTGGCACCACACGGCTTGGAGCAAATCTGTCGCGCCACCTGGTCTTCACTGCACTGCGTGCATCGCATGGCGTGCACCACGCAGCCTTCACGACACGCAGTACCCCGCATGGCACACTCCAGCTCTTGCAGAACTAGCGTTGCATCAACCTGCTCACAACACACGCCTGTCACCACATAGTTTGCACGACATCGTTCGTGCCACATAGCGTGCACCCCATCTACTACATAGCTTCCATAACATCGCCTGCACCACGAAGCACAGCTGGCAATAATATTTCACCATGCGCGGATGCATCGCGTAGTTTACAGCACATTGATTGCTCTTCCAGGGTAAAATCGCCGATGGCTTGCAATCCGCGTTGGCCAACATCATTCTGCAGCCAGCAAGGAGTGGCTCTGCCCAGACTGCTGAAAGAAAGCATTTGGTCTCCAGAGGACGGGCTAAGGGTTTGGGGGATGAGGTGGGAGAGGAGGGAGGCGGTCTCCAACAACACGTCACACAATCGGTGACCTATCGAGGTTTGTGGATTCGTTGTCGTCTTGGGCCACGCATTGCTTGCACTTCACGAAGGGCAGGCGACCGAGTTTGCTTTTCTCTGCTGTCTTCTCTCAGCATTACCCCAGTTCCCCACAGCGACCCTAACATTGATGTCCTCGTCGCCCAGGGGCAACATGCGTCAGTTGTTTCATGTGGTGTAGCGTGCTGCTGCGTCCGAGTTCCTCTCCCGCTTGAGCGCGCACTGTATAGTGCAGGGTCCTATTCACTCTGACGCTCCAGCTCCCACCTCTCAGCGTTAGCTGGCTCTCTTCAGGATTGCGAGGTGCTGCAAAATGGAGGACCTGAAGGAGTTCCACGATAACGTGGCCAGCGGTGCACGCACACCGCTGTACTCTCTGATGAAGGAGCTACTGGTGGGCGAGACGTCGTCGTGGCGGAAAATCTCTTCCAGCCGCCACTGGCGCGGTGTACAGGTGTGCCTGCGGACGCGCGAGCACGCGCATCTGCATTTGAATCTGCGCACGTGTATGTCCCCCCTCTCCCCCCCCACCCACCACACCCTGGGCAAAGACCATACAACGTTCCACATTGTATTAATAGCCCCATGTCTTTAATTCCGTATGATTTAACCATCGATTGAATCACCTTAGTTCCCATGTAATTTATACACCTCCATATGATTCAGCCATGTATTAATACCCCCAAATCCGTCTGCGCCCTTCGAAAATGAGATTATCCTGAACATCCAGCCGCCTGCGGCAAGCCTCGCCACGGCAACAGCCCAGCACCCTGGGTGGCGATAGCTCGGAGGGCGCACAGGAGACCGCAATGTGTGACATTGAGGAGGGAAAAAACACAGACATGATTGATCATCGATTCCCAAGAAAATATTGGAAAACATGTGAAGTGGGGGGGAGACACAAACCCAGAACATATGGGAAAACATTGGGGATCCTGTTATTTGTGTATATTTATTTGTGTGTCCCAGGGCCCCTTCAGACACCTCGTGTCCCGAGGCTTGGGAGAGCGAGAAAATCTGACACGCGTTTCTCTTCTTGTCTTCCTCGTGTTCCTCAAGCAGTGCTTGCATTGAAGGGGTCCTATCGGAAGTTGAAAGATTCGGCGAAAGCTTCCCGCCGATGTTGTTGGCGAGTTGGGTTTCTGGGGCTTCTGGTTCTGGGTTCCCGGGTTCCCGGTCATTGGTTCCGGGCCGACTTCGGTGGGTTCTGGGTTCCCGGACTCCCGGGTTCCCGGTCGCTCTCCTCAGCGAAAACCATGTTTTTCTTTGGTGAAATGGTCTTCACTTTCTTCCTACCTTCCCTGGGCCCCTGTTGGGCAATCTTGGGAGTCATTTGAGCCACTTCGGGCAGTCGTGGGGCCCTCTTGGGACGTCTTCTTAGTCTCTTGGGCCGTCTTGGGGCCCTCTCGGACGCGTGGGGGGGTTCTTGCGGCAGACGCGGGGCTGCCTTTCGGCCGACTTGGGCTGTCGATGGGGATCTCGGAGGCCATCTCGGGTCCCTCCGGTGGCCCTCGTGCGCTGGTTTGAGGCTCTCCCGGGCTGCCTTGAGGTCGCCTTGGAGGGAGAATTCTTGGGCAAGTGTGGGGTCCTTGTGGGCCGACTTCGGGCCATCTTGGAGGCCTCGAGGTTCTAAGGCCATCTGAAGCTGAAGGAATCCGAAAGGCGAAAATGATTTGGGCATCTTCGGGCAAGGGAAGAAAAGGGAGAGAGAGAGAGAGAGAAAGAGAGGAGAGAGGCGAGAGGAGAAAGCAGAGGAGAGGGGAGGGGAAGCTGTCAATAAGGAGCGCCAGGGTAGAGCACTCGCGTGTATGTTGCACGCGGTGCGCACGTGTGCTAATCCGGCGCGCATGCATTGCACATCCCCCTCCCCCCACTTCTCATCAGCCTGCTCCCCAGCCTTCTCGGCCTCCTGTCCTTCCTTCTGATGATTCTGCGCCTTGTCACCCTCATCATCTTCCCCCCTGTCTGCCGCGCTCTCGTTCTCATCTCTCTCTCCTTCTCCTCCAGATCCCCCTCCTCTCCCTTCTCCCTGTCCTCCTTTTCCTCAACGTCCTCCCTTGTCCCCGTCTTCTTCATCCTCCGCCTCATGTCCATCCCGCTCTTCTGCGTTCTCCTCCCCTTCGCCCGCTTCTGCCCCCCCTTCCTCGCCCTCCCCCTGCCATTGTCGTCCTCATGATCCTGCTTTTCCTCGTCCTCATCCTCATCCTCCTCCCCCGCCCTCTTCAGGCCCTCCTCCTCCCTCCTCCCTCCTCCCTCCTCCCTCCTACCTCCTCCCTCCTCCCTCCTCCCTCCTCCTCCCTCCTCCCTCCTCCACCTCCTCCTCCTCCTCCTCCTCCTCCGCCTCGTTCTCTCACTTCCTCTCCCTTGTTCCCCTCGTCCTCCGCGTCCTGGTCATTTCTCTTGCCGGCGTAAACTCAGTTGAGGCCGCATGCGATTACAGAGTGCTTTGTGAATGGCGCGATTTGCTTCTCCAATCTGCTGCAATTTCTGATCCCTCCGGAGTGCCCTGTGGATGCCATATGGCGTCGCATGCCGCCCCAATGGGTTGAGATACCTGGCTGCTGCACTGGCGCCCACTTAGAATGCCCTTCAATTCCAGAGTTCTTGTTCCCGCCCTGATGCCCTACAGTGGAAACCCACGCCAACAAAAAGCCCTGCTTGCCTCCAGGGTACCCTGGGTTTCTTGGGTGTCGATGGTTTCGCCATGGAAAAACGACGTTCCCACACCCAAAATCAATAGACGTCCTGGGATCTCAGGGTTGGGTTTCTTGTGGACGGGTTCTTGTGGTGGAGCTCCTACTGTATGGACGGTGATGCGCTGCGATGCCCCATTGTGTTGCGATTTCCAGATGGCGCCCAGGGGGCCCCGTGGGTGGTGCTCTTCGGTCGGCGCCCTGTGAGGCCCCCAGTGCGTGGAGATGTTTGGTTGCGGCCTTGGTGCCATATGGTTGGCGCCCCGCGACGCCACGATGTCGCCTTGTCTTCGAGAATCGAAGGAGTTGTCATCTCTTCCTCGGCGGAAGGCGGCGAAAGGTCGGCGGAAGTAACACGAGGCCGCATCCGCCGGCGGAAGCCGGCGGAAGGACAGCGGAAGGTGGCGGAAGTAAAAGATGCGCCCCCAAGAGAAGAACACGTTTTTGGTTGCAGAGTTTCCGAAATCCACCACATGGGTAGTGCCCCGTGACGCCACAATATTCCCAAGAGGAGAAGACGTCTTTGGTTGCAGAGATTCCGAAATCCACCACATGGCTAGCGCCCCGTGACGCTACAATATTTGGCGATTCCTGTTGCAGCCGTGGTGCCCTGTATCGAAGAAGAAAAAACGACAGAAGCATATTTCTGTTGCGCTCCGCGCAGATTTCTTGGATCCGCGCTGGGGCCCCTGCCTCGCTCCGTGCGCCACCGAGGGGGGTCCAGCGCAGATCCAAGAAACCCGCGCGGGCCTCCAACATTCAATGTATATGCTATCTTTTGCTCATCTACAATGGGGGGCCCTTCTGAAAAGCAACTATTGCCATTCTCAGAGAACCGCCGCCCTCCCCCCTTGTGGGCACAAGTATCTCCGCGCTCGTCTCCTCAAGAGGGTAGTCCTCAACCGTGCGATTGTATGGCGTGTGGCGTAACCATGCGAAAGGTATGCGTGACCATGCGAAAGGTCACAGCGTGGCATCTCACAGCGTGGTCCAGGTTCCTACCCCGCCGTCCTCTTTGGCGGCGCGCACAGGAGGGGGCCGCGCCAAGGGGGGCGTGCCTTCTGAGAAAGGGCATGGGACCTCCTGGAGGCCCCCCCGCCCTCCGAGAAGCTTCCTCATGGTTTCTTCACCAGGCTGGCCCTCGGCCCGGGACAAGGCTTGGGCAGTCCGGCGGGGCGCACATATTGGCACCGGACCGAGGGGTTTGCCCCAGCCAGAACAGGTGCGACGGGCTCGCATCGTCTCGCGTCGACGCGGCGGCGACCCGCCGTGGGCGTTCTCAAGGTTGACCGCCGCCGGTGGCCCAGCTTTTGCAAGTGTGGAAGGATCTGGCGATCGAAAGCCGCCGACCGTCCAATGTCGAACGGTCCACGCGGTGTCAGAAATCCACGCCCGGGTCGTCACGACACGGACCTGCCGTAGGGGACCCCGATCAGCCCCGGGAAGCTCCCGTGCTCTTCCGCAGGGCCGCCCTGCTCCCACGCCCCACCCCCGACCTTGCGCGCCGCCAAGCCTCCCCAGGGAGCCGCCGTCAGGGTGTTGCTCCTGCGGAGGCTCGTCGTCGTCCTCCTCCCCCCCTCCAGGTCTTGCCTGTGCTAGGGATCCGCCCAGGTCGTTCCCTCCCCCCCCCACGACCTCCTGCGCTTGGTCCAAAGGTCCAGCATGTCCTCCTCGCCCTCCGCAGCCATATTGGGCCCAGTCCCCTCCGCGTGCGTCTCCTCCCCGTCCCTCCCCCGCCGCCAACCCTCCCGCAGGGAGCCGCGATGGCGTCTCGGAGGTGACCATGGTGTCCGCCGGCAGGATCGGAGGGCCGTCGGAGGTCGCCAGCTGCACTCAGGCAGTAGGCCTAGGACCAGGATGCAGTCGAGGCTAATTAGTAGGTCGGCCCTGCCAAATCAAGGGTACCCTTGTGTCCTGTGTTTCGCGACCCATGCCTTCTACAGTCCTATGGCAATGTGGTCCTCGGAAGGGTACTGTGCCCTCTCGCGTGTCCTCTCCAATCAGTCTCGACTGCAAATCGTTGCAGAGCGCTACGGAGCGCTTTGAGAGCGTCCCGGATCTTTCTGAGACGGCCGCGGCGCCCGACACGTCCAGCAGAGCCGCCGCATCTCGGAGATCCCCGATTTGTATCCCGGTCCTGTTTTGTCTCGGGTCTGGCTTCGTCTTCGTTCGCACCAGGTGTCTTCACCAGGCCGGCCCTCGGCCCAGGACCGGCTTGGGCAGTCCAGCGGGGCGCTCCCACCGGTCCCGGGCCGAGGGGGTTTGCCTTGGCCAGGCCTGGTATAGCGAGCTCGCGTCCTGTCGTGTCGACCCGGCGGCGACCCCGCCGCGGGCGTTCAAGGTTGAACGCAGCAGGTGGCCCAGTGGAACGATCTGGCGATTGAAAGCCGCCGATCGTCCAAGGTTGAACGGTCCACGCGGTGTCAGAAATCCACGCCCAGGTCATCGCCACGCGAATGTGGCGTAGGGAGGAGGAGTGCGGATCGAGATGTCTTTACGTGCTTCGCCCTTCTTGGGCCTCCTGTGAGCGCCCTTGCCGTATCCGCTTCGAGTTTCCCCGGCAGGTCAAACCGTTGGACAGGGCTGGGGGTAGGCATTGAGGAAGGCGGAGGAGGTGGACGAGCAGGGAGGATGATCGAGGAGTGAGAATCTAGGATCGCAGGTCGTCACGACGCCCCAGTGCTCCGACGTCCCGGCTCTTCACAGCGTAGACTCCCAGAGGTCTAGATCGTTTACCCAGGACAAGTCTTCCACCCCGAGTACCCAGAGATCAACAGGAACGCAGGCTACGTTCCCAGCGTTACATATGTTGTTTCAACCTGCGTTCCCAGTATTCAGTTGCTGCGCCCTGCGTTCCCCACGTCAAGTTGATTCGCCCTGCGTTCCCGACATGATCATGCGTTCCCGTCGTCATTCCTCGTTCCCAACAGTAAACTGCGTTCCCGACATGTATGTTGGGATCGCAGTATACTCCGAATGAAAAACAGGTTCTAGAATGTATCGATGTATGTCGGTCCCAGGGCGCTATAAGGGCCCTCCCGGGGCCAAAGTTTGCCTAACAAATCCCGTCGTGATTTGTTTCGCTCACACGAGGAGGTCCGAGTGTCACGACACGAACCTGAGCGACGCAGAACAACGGGGTCGTTTCCACCGACATCGGCGCGCACGTTGCCCGCGTAAGGTCGGGCGTAAGCGCCCTCGTTTCCAATATGGCATGCCGAGCTGGCGGCCCGCGTAAACCACCGCGCGAGGTCGCTATGCCACCTCGCGTGAGACTCGTTGTTGTTGGCCGTCGCGTGCAGTTGGTGTACGCTCCAGCGCAGGAGCCGTGGCCGGCGCAGGCAGCACGGCGGCCGGCGGGGCGACCGCAGCAGGAGCCGCTCGGGCAGCCGCAGCCGCCGGCGACGGGAGCGCCGCCGCGACAGGAGCTGAGGTGCAACGTCAGGGGGGGATCCGACTAGACGCAAGAGTGACCTTTCGCCGGAGTGACCTTTGGTGCGGGCACAATGGGGTCCCCCGATCGCCGCATGCAAGGCGGCAGTAGCGCCTTGCGCGCCTGTGTTTGGTCCCCCCGCGGCCCTCCAAAAGCCGCGCACCAAAGGTCAATCTTACCCAGGGTCACTCCTGCGTGTGGCCGAGGGATACACTCAAGGCGTTCAACTGATTGTTGCAAGCAGTGGCGAAGCGTCCTGGCTTGCCTATAGGCCCACGAAGGAATGACCTAAGCACCTTCTGTGGTTTGCACAAATGTCCTGAGGACATCTCTGGCTGAGACGCTTTTTTTCATAATATATGTTTATATATGTATATATATATATAATAACAAAAACGGGTTGATGATCTAAGGCCATGGCCTTTGTTATTAGAGCATTCTTGGTTCTACGAGAACTCCGTGGTAGGCCTATACGAATGCCAGGACGGCTGGTCCCTGCTCAAGATTGCTGGTCACTTCTTGGCTCCCCGGGCGTCAACGTTCCCCTCTGGCCCCGCGGAGCGAAGCGACACGCCATCCGCTCGCATGGCGTAGCGTGTCGCTTGGGTGGCCGCCGCGACACGCTCAACAAAAGTTCCCGACCGCACATTCAAGGCGCTCAAGAGATTGTCGGTTAAGTCCTCTGGCACGTGTCGGTCGCTACCTGGGCCCACCGCCCCTCTACCCCCACCCCGGGGTAACGGTAAGGATCTTACGCAGGGTTGGGGGTCTGGATCCCCCGCACATGCTGATGTTCGTGCGCAAATTGTGGCGATCGCAGCGCACCCCCGCCTCGATGTGCCCCAATACGCCCCCCCCCTCGCGCCCCCGGGGTAACGACCGCTGCCCGGGGGGGATCAGCCAAGGCGCTGAAATTTAACATTTCGACGATGTGATTTTGTCCATGCAGCCGTTTTTCCCGAGTTTCGGCCCCCAGGGGCTGTCGTTGGGCCCAGGGTCAATGAAAGACGGATCCGCGACGAGAAGCACACTCTGGAGAGGGGTCGGGGCAATTCCAAGGCTTTTGGCATGACAGTTTATGTTTGTGTAGTTTCATGCAGGGGCCAGGCTTAGGGGTTCGAGGAGTAAAGTTCGCTTCCTTGGGGATTTTGACGTCCTGGGACGCCCTCGTGGCCACGACTGGATCCGGTTTGCAAGTCTGGTCAGAACGCACCCCGCCCCTTCCCAGCAGCGTGCGAATTCGCAATCGAGGGACTATCGCCGTTATATCAGCGATGTATCGCCGAATCCGGCCCGATGTTCCCAGACATCCGACGGCATTTTGTTTCAAGGCGTGGCCCCTAACCAGAAGGCCTCGACCTCCCTTCCTGGAAGGCAGTTGTTCCTCCCGGATCCGTCTTTGATGGTCCCGCGACCCAGTAGCGGCTCCCAACGGCCGAAGTCGGGAGACAAACGGCCGCATGAAAAGCACAGATCGTCAAAGATTTGGGATCGATGTCCCCCCCCTTAGAGCCAATGTCGATCCGATCGAAGTGATTAGCTATCGACTTCGGTCGGCCCGATCCCGTTCGTTTCTGCAATTCCGACGAACCGATGCGGCCAGATGTTCTCATGGTGTTGTCGTGCATCGTGGTGCATCCGATCCGACTTGATTCCGACTCCGTGCCGCTGGAATGCGATCCAGCGCGCATCCCGATTCGATCCCATTTCCCGATTCGATGAGGATGGGTCCTGCTTCTGAGCCAGTCCCCCCCCTATACGTTTCGGGTCAAGAGGAGCGGCCGCCCAGGGGGGGCGACGAGCGAGCGAACGAACGACGGCGAGAGCAAATGGCCCCGAGCTCAAGAAGACAACTGTGCACAGGCATTCAAGCATCACATCATCGGAGATCTGGAGTCGATGTCCTCCCCCTGAAGCAGTGGCGAAGCGTCCTGTCGTGCCGATAGGCCTACCAAACAATGTTCTAAGAAACTGGAGTGGTTGCCACGAGATGTTCTTAGAGCATTTATGGCTGGGGCTGTTTTGTTTTAACTCATCTGGCTGATGTTCTGAGAACGTTGTGTTTGTCTTTCGAACTTTTTGGGGGTACTTGGATCATGTCGTGGCTGGCCTATAGGAATGCCGGGACGGTCGGTCCCTGCTCCACCCCCCCGAGCCCGTTCCCCCCCCCCGCCCGCGCCGCCCGCCATCAAGAGGAGCAGGAGCGGCCGCCGGCGCTCGCGCTCGCGCGGCGGGGACGCCCGGGACCAGGTCCGGCGGCTGGGAGATCCTCCTCCTCCTCCATCCCCCCTTCCTCTTCCATTCCCCCCTCCTTCATTTTTCCTCCTGCTTCTCTTCCTTTGTTCCTTCATGCCTTTTCCTCCTCCCGCTCCTCCCCCTCCTCCTCCTCCTCCTCCTCCTCCTCCTCCTCCTCCTCCTCCTCCTCCTCCTCCTCCCGTGCCCGCAGGGGGGGCCGTTTGGTGCACCACCGCCGCGCCTGGCAGGGGCCACGTGTCGCAGGTGATCTCTTGCCTCGGAGCGGCCTGGGCGCTTCCCGCGGCTTTGGCATCGCTCGGGCGTGTGCGTTTTTGCTCGGCGAGGACCCTCGAGGAGCATCCAGGAGCATCTTGCGAAACAGAGCGCACGACACCGAAACAAAAACATGCACGGGGAAGGGAGGTCCGAGCGATGGCAAGGCGGGCTCAGGAAGCGCTTCCTGGGAGCTGCCCAGGCGCTGCCCACGGGCCCAGGAAGCGCTGCCCAAGGGCTGCATGGGCGCTGCCCACGAGCAGAGGAAGCGCTGCCCCTTCCCCCTGAAGTCGGGCATGTTCCTCTACAGGAGGAATATCCAAGAATAGAAACACATAGCCTGGCGACGATGTTTCGTGCTCTATTGACCGTGTCTGATTTGTTGTTTGACATGTTTTAGTTGTCTTCCAAACTCCGCCTGTAGGAGGACATGACCGACCTAACCCTACCCCCGACTTGTTCAAGAAAGCCCAGTTTATCAGTCAGAGGAGGGGGGGAACTCCAGGATACACCTCCAGAGGGCTATTCGGACGCACACACACCGTACATCCCCTACAGACAGTCAGGTAAAGTTGGTACGATTTACCTGGACTAAAAACGTAACTGAATTTGCCTGGACTGGAAGCGTGACTGAATCAAACGTACGACTGGAGTCTGAACCTCAAGAAGGCGTCGGCGACGACGACGCCGGCGACGGCGAGGTCCAGAGATCAGAACGTGCGACGGCGAAAACGTCGGAACCCAGAGGAGCAGCTCAAGCCTTCGTGCGATTTCAGACGTCGGGTCGAGTTCTCAAATCTTACCAATTGACCTGACTGTCTGCAGTTTGGCCTCAACTTTTGGGGTCCGCTTGGGAGCCCCACGAAGTCGGGGACAGGGGTCGACATACCCGCTGTTAACCCTTGGCCCTGGGACGTTGGGCGCCACCTCCCCCAGACCTCCTCGCGTCGTGGCACACAAATCACGTCGACAGGTTGTTGCCTTAAGTCGGGCCTGTCCCTCTACAGGAGGAATATTCAAAAAATAATCTGGGAACTTTTTTCAAAAAATAATTTATGATCATCTGGGAGTGTTTTGTAACTATATTTATTTTTCCTTCAAAACCCCCCTGTGGGGGGACAGGCTCGACTTAATTGTTGCCTCTTCTCTGGCCCAGGGGGCCCTGGCCAGCCCCCGGGGGCCCCCCTTAGAAACGGCATGGGGGCGAAAAGCTGGTCCCCGGGGAGGGTGTCCAGACCTCTGGGCGTCCACGTGTCCAGCAGTCCTTGGATGAGGACACATCTCGGCGGCGAGCGAGGGGGGGGAAGTGAGCAGGAGAAGGCCTTTTCGTAAGGCGGCGGGACTTCTCAGAAGTCCTCGCGCCTTCTGAGAAGCATTCTGCGTCTTCGGGGACGGCTCCGAAAACTTCTCAGGAGGCGGGGGACTTCCGAGGCTTCTGAGAAGGCCTCCGTTCTGGGACGCTCTCGAAGCGTTCTGGCGCGCTCTGAAGCGCCCGCGGCGCCCGATGCATCTTCCAGAGTTAAGTCGGGCCTGCCCCTCTACAGGGGGAATATTCAGAAATAGTCCAGAAATAGTCCAGGGACTATTTTTTTAGTATTTTGAGGCATCTTTTGAATATTTTGTTGAGTATTTTTTATTTTTCGTCCAAAAACCCCCTGTAGGGGGACAGGCCCGACCTAACTCCAGAGCCGCAAGATCTCAGGCATTCCCGATTTGTCCTTCAGATCCGACGTTGCGAACAAGAACTGCAACCTCGCAGACAAGAATCACGACCAGAGCCGGATCGGCTTTCTTCGAGCCGGATCAATCTGTGAGGGCCCCCGGGCCCGGAACGGAGCGAGAACGCCCAGCGTGGCAAACAGTGCAGCGCTAGGACCCCAGGTGTCCCCATCCGAATGTATCCTTATCTTATGGTGTTCCAACTTGCTTGAGCCTTGGTCACGAAAAAGAATGTCGAGCACCAGAAGAAAGTACCGAAACTCGAGGGTTTTCACGTGCCGGGCCCTGGGAGACACCCGTCCGACACTGTCTCGACGCTCCTTCGACACTATTTCGACACTTTTCCGGATGCTCGAAATTATGTTTGGGGATGTGGTCCTTAAGTACGATGGGAGCAACATGATACATTCGTAAGGGCCTGTCCCCCTACAGGGGCATTTTGGAGGACAAATAAACAACAGTCAACAAATATTCCAAAATTGTCACAAGAAAGTCAAAGAATAGTCCCCAGACTATGTTCTGACTATTTTTGAATGTTCCTCCTGTAGAGGGACAGGCCCGACTTAACCTTATCTTGCCTTCGGGGGCCTGGGCCGGGCCTCGGCCCGGGGGGGGCGGGCGGGCGCCGGGGCCCCAGGGTTCGGGAGGGCGCTGGCCAGGCGCGGGCTGCGGCTCAACGGACGGGGGTCCCTGCAGAGGGGGGTCAGTCAGCGCGCCAGATGATGCAGGGTTCCCCACCCACCAAACCACTCCAACCCAACCCGAAGGCCTCAATTTGCCCTCCATTTCCAGTGCGGGGGGGTCCGGGGACATCGAAAAAACACGCGTGGAGCCCGTACTCCCCTCCAACCCGGAAATTTGGGTCTTCGGGTTGGGTTGGGGTGGCCTGGTAGGTAGTCAAGGATCCTGCAGGGCCAGGCGTGCATTGACGCGTGTCTGCGTGCAGGGTCTTGTAGGATCCTGAAGGCTCTTGTGGGATCCTGCAATGCTCGACCGATTCGCGTCTGCGTTGGCCCGGGTCAGTCGATCCCCGACGTGGTGGTGGTGTGTGGGCGCCCTCTGCGTGGTTGGGTGTCCCGTCCCCGCTCAGGACCCAGAGATCCGAGACTTCGAACAAAATCGGAACGGCCGGTTTTTGTTGCTATGTTTCGGAGGTGGATAGACCTCCTACCCTGACACGTCGATTGAGGAATTGGCCGTTTCCGGTTCGCGAGAGGGTGTCGCGGCCGTCATTGTCGCGGGTCCAGGTCCGTCGGTCTCGGTCCCGGGCAGTTTTCACTAAGCAAAGGTTTACTAAAGGGAGGTTTGTCCACCGCCGAATGTTCGGCTTCTGGAGGCCCTAAACGGGCCCCAGGACCGTCAGTAAACGACTCAGGATGAAAATTCGTGCCAAAAGTTGTCCCCACCTCTGGGGGCCCACGCATCGAAAAAGTTGGAGCGCCGGGTGTCTAGGGAGGCGATTCTTGCAGGTGCCCATGAGCGGGCACGGGTCCCAGGTTTCCAGCTCCCCAGGGGCTGAGCCCTTGCAGGGGGGAGGATATCCATTATACGCTGCTGGCGACCGCTGGTTTCGCCGACGGCTGGTTTCGCCCAGCTGGTTTCGACCAACTCCATCGGCGAAACCAGCTGCCGTCGGCGAAACTGCCCAACCCGACCCGCCCACTAGGGTCCGCCCGCCCGACCCGACCCGCCCGTTAGGGTTCTCGTGTGCTCGGCCGAGCGCGCCCCACACTTAAATGTTCTGCCCGCCCGACCCGATCCGTTAAGGCCTGCCCTACCCGACCCGACCCGCCCGCTAGGTTCCGCCCGCCCGACCCGACCCGCCCGCTCGGTCGAGCGCGCCCCACATTTTCATGTCCCGCCCGACCGACCCGACCCGCCCGTTAGGGTCCGCCCGCCCGACCTGACACGACCCGCCCGCTAGGGTCCGCCCGCCCGACCCGACCCGCCCGATGGGGTTCGCACGTGCTCGGTCGAGCGCGCCCCACACTTTCATGACCCGCCCGCCCGACCCGACCCGCCCGTCAGGGTCCGCCCGCCCGACCTGACCCGACCCGCCCGCTAGGGTCCGCCCGCCCGACCCGACTCGACGATAGGGCTCGCGTCGGCGAAACCAGCGCCAGCGAAACCAGCCGCCTGCGAAACCAGCGGGGCGAAACCATCTTGGCGAAACCAGCGTCGGCGAAACCAGCCGCCGGCGAAACCAGCCGTCGGCGAAACCAGCGCTGGCGAAACCAGCGCCGGCGAAACCAGCTCGCGCCCGCCGTTGGGAGCCCGTTATGTAGCGTGTCACTTCGTCTGTTATGTCAGAAGACCTGGTATCCTTTCCACAGTGACTAACACGCTGCTGGGTTGCCCACGGCGGTGCGTCATTGATATGGCCTTTGCTCCAGAACTTCGGGGCCCACCCCTGCTCAGAAGACGTTCCGTCGAAGCTCCTGAGCGGATGCGGGTGCCAAGTGTCCAGCTCCTGCCAGGGGCCGCCGCTGCCGGGCGATGGCGCGAGAGAGGCCCGGGGGCGCCCAAATGGGGCGCTCGTTGGCGTTTGCTTGTAATTCAAGTGGCTTCCATTCCGCCGACCCCCACAAGGAGTGAGTGTTTGAGACCATCGTGGAAGCTATCTCTTGGGTCGGGAACCTCCTGGCTGAATCTGAGGGTCCCTTGGGATGCCTCTCTGGGGCCTCCTGGAGAACTCTTGGGGGCATGTGGGAGGCTTGTTGGGGCCTCTTGGGGGCCTCTGGGGGGCTTCTTGGGGGCGTCTTAGAGGCCTCTCGGGCCCTCTTGGAGGGCCCTCGAGGGCCTCTGGGGGACTCGAGGGGCCATCTTGGTGGGAAAGGCTCGAAATGTCTGTTCGTATTCCCCCTCTTGGGCTTTCTTGGAGCCCTCTTGGGGCCCTACAGGGGCTGTCTTGGGCCGTCTTGGGGGGCCCTGGAGCTGTCTGTGGGCCCTCTTGGGCCGTCTTGGGGCTTTCTCGGAGGTATCATCGTGGGACGATCTTGGTGGCCACTTGGGCCGTCGTGTTCGCTGTCAAAACGTAAAATGCGAATGTACTGAACGTGCAAGTTGTTCCCCCGAAATGGGATGCGTTTGGCCTCTTGGGGCCTTCTCGGCGATCCTCTGGAGGCGCTTTTGCGCTGCCTGGGGAGCCTCGTGGGCCATCTGGAAGCCATCTTGGATCGTCGTGGGGCTGCCCTGGGCCGTCACAACGCTCTCTTCGACTGTCTTGGCGCTCTGTCTGGGCCCTGCTGGGCTGGCTTAGGGCTTTTCGGGGACTCTGGAGGCCCCGGGGGTGCGTTGGCGAGCTCGTCCCCCGCCGCCCCCACCCCCCTCCCCCGCCACTAGGATGGTTTTTGGGACCCCAGGGGAGAGGGAAAGGGGGAATGGGGACAGCCAAATGTCTCACACGCCTGTTCACCCCCGGCAAGCGGGGGCTGGGGGACTCCCAACCATCCTGTGACGGTGAGCCCTCGCTTTGAACCAACAGCGCCCATTATACTCCCGCTCCTCCGTCATGCCATCCTTTTCTCTGCCCTCCGCATGGCCTCATCGTCATTGTCCTCATCACCACCATCATCATCATCATCAGCAGCATCATCATCATTATCATCATCATCGTCATCATCCTCATCCTAATATTCATCCTCATCATCCCCATCATGAGCATCACCATCACCATCATTATCAGTCGCATGTCGGCACACCGCTCAAACGTTGCATGGTCCTAAAGAGAGCTCTACCTAGTTATGGTCTCAGTGGGCGCGACCGCATGGGGGGTCCCCACTTATTGCGACACATTTCTCACACGGATCGTGACCCCATCGGGAGCTTCACCTGCGGTCTGAGCGGGCGCGACCGCATGGGGAGTCCCCGCTCATTTCGGCACACCCCGCAGTCGCACTTCCTAGACTTACTTGGAAAAAAAGGAGCTTCGTTCCTTATTTATCGTTCCTTAGGTCAGGCCGAACACTGTATTGTCGGGGATCTTGGGAGCTCTGGCCCCGTCCCGGGCGGCCCTGGGCAGGACGGCAGCGTGGTCTCGGCCGTGTTGGCAGAGGCGCTGGCGGCGGACCGCGCGGTGCTGGCCGTGTCGGGGGGCGGCAGCAGCGGCGGCGCGGGCGGGAGAAAGAGCATCGATGGCACGCTGCCGTTGGTAACTCCTCAGTGTTCGGATGTAGCCAGGACCCCGGGTAAGGGGACCCTAGGGCCCCGGAGCCTTTCAATTGGCCAGAATCACTAAACCAGGTCTGCCGTAGCTGGTGCTTTTCGGGTGACGGCAGTTCCGGTTAGTGGAACGGGGCGGGGGGTGCGTCCCCCAGTACAAATCATTAAACCAAATCCAACTAAACTCAGTTCTGCCATCGCCCGAAGTGTGTTGCTTCTCCGTTTTGGTCCGAGGGCCGGAGCATCGATGGCACGTTGCCGTTGGTAGCCCCTCAGTGTGTTTCAAGCAGGGAAACGATGTGCTACACCCCGCAGATGCGGATAAAAGTGAGGGGGCTGTGGGGACGTCGGCAGTTTGCGAGACTGTGGGGAAGCTCGCCGCAGGCGCCAAAGTTTCACAAATTATACAACGAGCCCGCCGCAGGCGTCGATTGTTTCGTTAAACCAATGTGGATAGGTCGCGGGTGGGTCGCAAATGGGTCGCGGGTGGGTCGCGGGTTGGTCGCGGATGGGTCGTGGGGTGGGTCGCGGGTGGGTCGCGGTTGGGTCGCGGGTTGGGTCGCGGGTGGGTCGCGGGTTGGGTCGCGGGGTGGGTCGCGGGGTGGGTCGCGGGGTGGGTCGCGGGGTGGGTCGCGGGGTAGGTCGCGGAGTGGGTCGCGTGTGGGTCGCGGGTGGAATGACGACAGCAAACAAAACGCAACAAGCAGAATCCTCACCACGGATCCCCATTTCAGCCACGCACCCAGGGACAGTGAATGACCGCTCGGCCCCCTCACTCTGACAAGATGGTCACACCATATGTCCGGGTCGGGCGCGCGCCCCCGAGGAGGGCACATCATAGTACCAGTGCGCCCCGACGGCTTCCCCACGGTGGCGGCTGTCCACTGGTGCTGCCTTTGGCCCCCCGAAGGCAGGGCAGACGCGCCGGCCTCGCGCCGCAGGTCCAAGTGGGACGACGGCGCGCCGGGCGAGATGCCCGGCGTCGGGACCACGCCGTACAACGTCGGGGAGGTCGGGGGAGTGCTCGGCGCGGCGCCGGGGAAGCGGCTAGGCTCTGCGGCGCGCACAGAAGTCGGCGCGCACAGAAGTCGGTGATGTCACAGTTATGATGATGGGGGGGTGATCTGCTTTTGTGGAGGGTCCAGCGGGCCTCGTCAAGCAAGATTGTCGGGGGGTCTCGATGGGGGACCCGTTGCTGCACCGCTCTTGATGCGGGGGGTCCCAGACGCGCTGCCAAACACTTGTTTCACCCGCCCCCCCCCCGCTATATTGTGAGATTTGGAGTGCACTCCGGTCGTTGAAAGTAGGCACTCTGGGCTTCCAGATCCCAATTAACTTCAAACGCCTTCCTACTTCAAGAGTTGATCTGCTTTTGCGATGCTTTGTTATTCTAAGGCAGGGCCTGCACCCAATGAACCTTAGCCGCCTTCCTTCTTCCGACGGACGTGTATGGTCACGCCGGGTGTGGTTTGCGATCTGCGGCGTTGGGGCTAGGAGTGCACCACGCTGCCCTCGTCGGACCTTCTCGGGGCGCGGCGAAGAACTCTGTCAAGGTCCTCGCCCGACCCCCGGGCGGGGTGTGCAAACCACGCCTTTTGCAAACCACACCCTCCTTCGGAGTCGCTGAATCAGCCGGGCATTATCAGAAGTGGTCCTGGCCCCGGGTGCCCCAGCTTTCTCGCGCCGTCTTGGAGCCCCCAATGGGCCCCTTTGGGCCTCGCGAGGGTTGCTCTGGAGGCCATGTGGGCCCCCCTGGGAGTCCTGACCTCTTGCATTGCCCGAACCAGGAGGGGGGAGGGAGCAGGGCGGGGCCGTGGGGGGAGAGGGGGCCGCGGCCTCTTCCCGAGAGGGCGGGGGGGCGGGGCGGGGAGCCTCCCGGCAGGGCCCCGTGGGCTTCCGGGAGGGCAAGTCTGGCAGGTTCGTGTCGCGCCGGCGCGGCTGCGACCCTCGGCCCCAGGCCTTCAAGGTGGAACTCGGCGGCGGGCCCAGGGGGGAAGAGAGAAGGAGAAGGCCTTCTCAGAAGGCTCGGAAGTCCCTCGGCCTTCTGAAAAGTTTTCTAAGCCTTCCCCGAAGACACGGAAAACTTCTCAGAAGGCGCGAGGCTTTTTTGAGAAGTCCCGCCGCCTTCTGAGAAGGCCTTCTCCTTCTCGCTTCCCCCCCCCCCCGCTTGCCGCCGAGGAACGCCGCCCGTGACCTGGAGGCTCAGAGTGGGCCCAAAAATTCACCGATGTGGCGATCGGACGGCCGCCGATCGCTCGAGGCTGAACGACCCACGCGGTGTCGGAAGCCGACGCCGGGCACGTCGGGGCACGGGCCTGCTGGAGCAGAGGCGGGGCGGGAGGGCGCCTGCGCCATAAACTGAAGTCGGGCCTGTCCCTCTACAGGGGGAAAATAATATTCAAACAGAGTCAAAGAATAGTCTGGGGAGTATGTTTTGAGTATTTTGGAGCATGTTCGGGTATTTTGTTGTACTATTTGTTATTTGTCGTCCATAATCTGCCTGTAGGGGGACACGCCCGACCTAACCATCAACCTCCCTTTGCCCTGGCAGGGAGGCCGCCTCGCCCTCGCCCCCGCCCGCCCTCGGGCGCGCTGCCCGGCAGGCGGCGGCTTCGACAGCACGATCCCCACCGCGGGGAGCCTCGTCGTGGACCCGACCACGGGCCTGGTGCTGCCCGCCGAGCACAGGACGGTTTTGAAGGAGATCCGCATCCCCCAGAATCTGAAGAGCGGTCTCATCGGGAAGGGCGGAGAGTGGATCAACTTCATCCGCAACGAGTCGAAGGCGGGCGTGAAGCTCAGCCACAACGACGGCGACGCGGAGGCCGTCATCGAGATCAAGGGCACCAAGGAGGTGATCCAGCACGCCGAGGTGCTGATCCACTCGCGGCTCCAGGAGGTGTCTGGCAACAGGTCGAAAGACCAGTGGGAGACCGACATATTCTAGAGGCATGCGCCATTCCAGGGAACCCAACGGAGGTTGCTGGGTTGCCACGGGGATAGCAAGTCTGTGGGAGAAGAGGAAGAGCGATATTCAGGAGGACAAAATCGTCGATCCTCCAGAAATTATCCCGGCAAAGCAACCTAACAGCGATGTGTAGGAGCATATTTGGAAGCATTCCCCTTCAGATTCAGATGAGAATCCAGTTGTAGAATTCTGCTGTTCTCGCAGTCGTAGTTGCATTCGCGATGACAGTCGCAGTGGCAACGGCAGTCGCAGTCACAGCCTCAGCCTCAGCCTGCCTCAGCCTCAGCCTCAGCCTGCCTCAGCCTCAGCCTGCCTCAGCCTCAGCCTCAGCCTGCTTCAGCCTCAGCCTCAGTCTGCCTTCAGCCTCGGCCTCAGCCTCAGCCTGCCTCAGCCTCAGCCTGCATCAGCCTCAGCCTCAGCCTCAGCCTGCCTCAGCATCAGCCTGCTTCAGCCTCAGCCTCAGCCTGCCTCAGCCTCAGCCTCAGTCTGCTTCAGCCTCAGCCTCAGTCTGCCTTCAGCCTCGGCCTCAGCCTCAGCCTGCCTCAGCCTCAGCCTGCCTCGGCCGCAGCATCAGCCTGCCTCAGCATTCAAAATGTGGCCCAGGAATGGAGTTCTGGGAACTAGAAGAACACGAGGTGGCCTACAGTTGGCTCCGGGCATTCAAAATCATGCCCAGGAATGGAGCTCTGGGAACTTGAAGAGCACGAAGTGGACCACGAAGTGGCCTACAGTTGGCTCCGGGCATCCCCGGGAATGGAGTTTTGGGAAGTCGAAGAGCACGAAGTGGCCTACAGTTGGCTCCGGGCATCCAAAATGTACGCCGGGAATGGAGTTCTAGCAGCGCCAAGAGCGATTTTGCGAGGATGTCCCAAGTGATTTGGGCTTCGACGGCAGCCGCGCCGGGTCCCGCCCCGGGTCCCGCCCCGACCCCCCTGAGGAGTCATGATGCTCTCTTTTGACCCCACTAGAAACCTATCAGTCTTCG